ATACTAGTTTATTCTTGGGCTAATTCAATGCAAAACTGAAAATCAATACAGAGACTAAAGCAGCAAAAGTGTTTCAGAGGTTCAGACAAACTCCCCGTGGCGTCTGCAGTACATATGACTCATAAGCACAGCACGCTTACTTACTTCACCATTCAATTAACAGGAACAAAGCAGGCAATCAAGAGAATAGCATGAAAAATAGCAACACTTTCTTACTTGAAAAACAAACCAAAATGAGCTCTGCAGATTAGCAGGTGGAGACAAAAAGAATCAGTAAAACATCTTTATCTTCCTATTTAGTCGTGTCTCTGAAAAGAAGTCTTACCTGGAAAATCTTTTATAGCTACTTAAGCCTTTGAGACAGAAAGTCAGAGACACAAAGCAACTGAAAGAACAAGCAGGAGAAGGGACACTGGGCCTTTGTAAAAGCATCTTGCTTTTGCAAGGGAACTAACACACAACACCCAATGAGTGTGTGTAAGATGTCCATGTGGGATGTTTAAGCATGTAGGAGGATGAACGTGAGAGTGTCTGCAAAACTTCAGTTCAATTCAAACAACTGGATTCGAAAGAGCCACCCTGTCTGACAGAGCCCCAGTCAAACATTTGTCAGTGACTGACAGGCCGACGTTCCACCAGGTATCACATTCAGCCCGATACGAGTCTGAGAGCAGATAAATCCTGCTGCAAACCTCTTAAAAACGTCAGCTTCTATCTCTGAACAGCGACATGTAGCAGTGTGTAAATCCAGCTGACAGAACCAGCTCCACCCAAACGCTCGGCAACATCATCCATTACAGTCCCATCACATCGCTGCAATCAAATTACTGGCCGGCAATGCTGCTGGTGCAGCTCTGGCACACGAACGATGATGTTAATGATGAAGAGGGAGAACAAAAAAAAAAGAAAGCTAGAAGAGGAAGAGAAGATCGCGAGATAGGTCAGGAAATGTGATTATGCAACATACAATACTGACATAGAGAAAGAGTGTCAGAGAGTGCAGTCTATAGCATGCCAGAGGAAAACATGACTCACTTGTGAATAATACATATAAGCTGGTCACCATATGTGTCTGTTTCTGGGGTGTGTGGGCACGCTGCAGTTTTTAGCCAGACTGAAACATCTCAACAACTATCGGAGGAGTTGTCGAGAAATGTTTCCCAGATGATGAAGATGATGACTTTGGTGACCCCTGACTTTACATCTAGCTTCACCCATGAGGTTGACATTCATGGTTTTGACTGTATATCTGTACCACTATTGGATGGACGCCATGAAATTCACTACACACATTTGTTCATTTTCTTCTCAGGATGAATTGTAACAGCTTTGGTGATCCCAAGACTTTTTTTTTTATTCTAACACCATCATTAGATCAATGATGACTACCTATGACATCCTCATTAGTCTCAGTTGTTTCTGCTAATTAGTAAATGTAAGCATGCTAACAAACCCTGTGACAGACCGGCGACCTGTCCAGGGTGTACCCCGCCCTCACCTGATGTCAGCTGGGATTGGCTCCAGCCCCCCACCCCACCCCACCCCACGACCCTATAAGGAGCATCAGCATGTTAGCATTGTGACATAAGGGTTTAGGTCAAAGCACTGCTGTGCCTAAGTGCAGCCTCACAGAGCTGCTAGCATGGCTGTAGACTCTTAGCCTCGTTCTCATGTGTCACTTCCAGAGGCTGATGACTCAAAAAAAAAAAATCACAAATAACATGGTTCAGTTTTATGCCCACAGAGGGTGTTTTTTAGTCTACTATAACATCCTGTTTTGATCCTACTTTGGTTTTCCTGCTTGTTGCGTAAAGCGTGACTCACTACACGGTTAGATATAGTGTAGTCAGTAAAATGCCAACATACCATGTGCAGTGATGATATAGTATTGGAGTGAGTGGGCCAGCTGGCATGCACACATGGCAATGGTCCATGTTGGGTGATAATGCTTGTGTGATGTAAAACTATAAAGCTAAATTGCACTAATAATGTGAAGTGAACGGATTCCATCGCTGTGCATGACCAGCACTGCAACTGGGGTTGGAGGGTGGAAGGAGCGGTGGGGGGGGTGTGGGGGGGGGTCACAGAGGATGGCAGTAGCGTAGGCTATCCGTCTGCTTGTTCGCAGAACATAAAATACGGCCACTCAGGCTGTAAACATTGATTCGCTGGGGAAATCCAGAAAACAAAAGCAAATGGAAGCAATAAAATTCGCCATGTGGAGGGGGAGGGCGGGCGCAGGGGTTTGACTGCGCCAAAGGTAATGTAAAGGAGTTTGGCAGGGGGAAACACAATAACACAATGAAGCTGAAGTTTCCAACTCTCATTTTTTCCTATGCTTTAGTGAGCTTAAAAGATCTAGTTGAGTCTCATAACACTAGCAACTCTGCACACTGAAAAGTCACAGTTGTTTTCATATTCTTTGCAGCTGGAAGATGAATATCAGTGTTTTCCTGTGCAGCATGACCTGAATTTTCAGTAATTTTATATACGCCATTTGTGTAGAAAGCCCCAGCATAAAACTTTATGATTACTATTTACACAAAGATGATGTCACTAAGGAGAGGCGGCAAACAAAAGCCAATAAAGGAGGGAGAGGATGGCAGAGAGAGGGGGGAAAGTCACTTAAGAGAAAGAGCATAAAACATCCTGGTGGTGTATTTCTAAGCTGATTTCTACTGAGACAGAAAATAGAAAATGTGCTTGGACAAAAGGAGCTCAGGAGGAAAAGTGGCAGACAGAAAAGAGATGCTGGCTGTTACATAATTACAAATAAAGGGAAAAGGGGGGGGGGGGTCAGCTTGGCACACAAAACACTCCCAGATGAAACTAATGTTCAGATGGAAATGTACAGTAACAAGACGTCTCTCTTTGGAAGAGATCTGAAGTTCCCTTTTGTCTTTCTTTTTATCCCCCCACCACAAAAAAAAATGTATTCTGACATATGCAGCCGGGTAGGGTTTCAGGTTGTGAAGGGATGGGAGCTGGGATTGGCTGGGAGTCTGTGCTACAGGAAACCACAGGATGTGAGGCTGGCTAAGTTGCAGACTGACACACACACACACACACACACACTCAAACACACTCAAACAAAGCAGACATACAAAATACAAGCACGCCAAATACACACTACACCACTGAGTCAATTCCAACTCCTTATTTTTCTCCTTGTCTGTTTTGAAATCAGCTCTCCTTGGAGAGTTGACTGCGGATAGCTTTCAGAGAGAGAAAACAGCGAGAGGAGAGACAAATTTAGTGTGAGAATGAGTGAGAGAAGGAGGGAGATAAAGAAAAAAAAAAGAAAGGACTGAAGAGTTTATCCTGCATGTAGTGTTTTACCATAGCTGTTCTTTGTGATGGCTTTAAGGAGATTAAAAGCTCATTAAAAAGCTCATTAAAATGTAATTACATGCTGTGGCTACATATATACATTCAAGGTAAGGGTTGCTTGTTTATCACTAAGCTGCACGCCAAAGTATTCAGGCATTAAGTCGAAAGTACAGTAGAGAAAGCAATTGGTAACATAAAATGTGACAGCGAGAGAAAAGAACCTCAAACATCCCTGAAAAGCAAAACACATTCATTATAAAGTACTCCAAAAGAAAATGATTCCATTTACAGTTTCTACCCTCTTGAGACTTGCTTTAATGACTTCTCAAAATGAGTTATTTCATGGAATAGAAACACTGGGACGCAGTTAAAGCTGATGGAGTTTCTGTGTTTCTTTTATATCTCATTCTCTCCGATTCTCTCTTTTCCACCTCAAACCTGATCCGCTCTTTGTTTGTCTAACCCCAGCCCTTTTCTCCCCCCTGTTCTGTAATCCCCTGATTACAGTCACACTTTCATTAGCTGGAGGCTGTTTCTGCTGAGTTGAGCTGTTCTCCACTAATAATGCTAAAAGCTACAGGCTGCGTATGTCACTGTGTAGCCTGGTTACCTCAAACACAAACTGACTGCTAGCACATTAGGAGTGTGTCTGCACATTAAAGGACTAGTTCGAAATTTTGGGGAGAGAGTCATTAGATTGATATCACTCTCGTGCAGCTTAAACATTAAGACATAGCCAGCGGGCACTTAGCTTAGTTTAGCACAAAGACTGAAGTCTGTGGGAATTAGCCAGCAGCTTAAAGCTTTCACACTTGGGGAGAGTTGTGGGGGGTGTTGGGCAAAGATATTTGGTGAAGCTAAAGGGACAGGTGCATGCAGGCGTTCTACACACAACGGTTACATCTCATGGAGGCAATCAAGGCACTTTGAAGCTCCAAGCACCTGCAATTTGTGCCAAGATTCATACTCGTTCTCTGAGGCATAACTCGGTCAAATCTGAACACACAGACAGGATACACACATATTTTTATGATTCTGTGTGACTTTCACTTCTCAAGCATGACATTATCTCCAATGTCCATCGTCAATAAACATCCATATATCTTGCTTAGAAATCATGTTAAAAATAGACGCTCTTTATAACTCCAGAACTTGCCTGAGAATAAATAAGTTTTTAAGTTTGCATCAGTATTTAAAGTAATCCAGTGATAGTTATCTGTACATCTATGGTGAGTATGCAAACAGAAACAACTGTTAGTGGATTCAGCATACTTTTAATGATACCAGTTTCCCAGAGTGTAAACAAATATAGGCTAAAAAAACAGGGCGGAAGTTGTAACCCAGAGCTACCTAACTCAGTGACAACTGAGTGACACAATGCATTAAGGCTCAGAATATCCTATTCAGCAACAGTGTCGCTCGTCTCTATCCATTGATGAACTGACATTTGCCCTGTGTTGAAAACCTGTGGATACACGGACCAAAAAATGAGTTAACATGTTTCTGAAGATGTCAAACTATTCCTTTAATGTATGATGGTGTCACTGTATAATGATGCTTACACTACACACTGCCAGTGGACTGATATGTTACATCTATGTGTTGGTCCAGGGTTCGGGTTATTACATTGTTTTCTCTCTGTGTAATCAACATGAGGACAGCCGTCTTACTTTTCGTCCATGATGGCGGAGTTTCTCGATGTAAACGGGACGATCTCATTGCAGGACCCCTCCTTGTTGTCCACCGTCCCATTGGCCCTAATGAAGGGGTCCAGGTCTCCGTTGACTGACGCAGCTGGTTTGCTGCTGTTCTCCAGGTTGAGCAGGTTGAGGTAGGACTCAGCGCAGTCCACCTGGGTCGGGGAGAGGGGCGAGGTCTGGAGCGCCCATGAGGGCGTGGAGGTGATGAGCTGGTCCAGGGTCTGGCTGTAGTGATTCTTCAGATTTAGAGACAGAGGCTTCGCTAATGTAGAAACGGATGACTGTTCACCATCTGGAACAGATCAATAAAACAAGTTAAATTAATAAATGTCTCAATGAAAAACAAGATAAAGAAGAAACCACTTTGTTTTTTGTTTTTTTAAATCTCTGCGACTCTCATCACAGACTGGAGGAGTTCACTGTGCGCCAGTGGCAGCACTTAGGCCAGCCATTTCTGAGATTAGCAAGGTTAGCAGGGCTAACATGATTAATGCAGGCATGAAATATGTGTCAGTTTTAAAACATACACACAAACACACACATGTAAAAACACATTTATTATTTACATAAACTCACACAGCTCTGCCCAGTGTGTGTGTGTATGTGTGTGTAGTTATTCATTATTATTTTGGCAGGACAGACCGTTCTTTTAACTGGTGTGAATACATCCCTCCCCCATAAAATCTTCCATTGGGACAAAGTTTGTGTGTGTGTGTGTGTGTGTATGTGTGTGTGTGTGTGTGTGTGTGTGTGTGTGTGTGTGTGTGTGTGTGTGCCAAAAATAACGGTCAACACAATCAAAACTCTCACTGAGAAGTGTGTGACTGTGAGATAATGCTGACAGAATGTAGTTTTTAAATCCGCTGTGATTAAATAATGTGTTACTCATTCAGTGTAGAGATGTTATTGCATGTAAAGATAAATTGTCACACACGTTGTGTTACATTGAGGGGCGATGTACAATGTAGCTGTGATGCATGGCTCTCCATTTTTAATTTTCAGGCTTATATAAAAAAAAAACAAATGTGACCAAGTCAGATCAATAATCCAGTTTTCTATAATTGACACAAATGCAGTTGTGAACACATTTTAACGTATGTTTTTATCATTCATGCAGGTGGAAAAATTCATGGTCCCCAGAAGATTTGCCCTGATGACTTTGGTGATCCCAAGACTTTTCCTCCAGCGGCATCATCAGGTTCACATTTGTTATTTTGAGTGACTCAACAACTATTGGATGGAAATCTGGTGCAGGCATTCATGTTCCTCTGTGAATGGAATGTAATTACTTAAGTAATCCCCTGACTTTTCATTTAGTGCCATCATCAGGTCAAATTGCTAAACTGAAATCTGTTCACATGTTGCTCCAATCACTTCTGTGTGTTAGTGCAGCCACAGAGTCACTCACATGCCTGTAGACGCTTAGTCTTAGTTAATACAATATGCTCACAGAGCATGCAACTTGTTTTCCACAGATTAAGTATGAAACGTGAAACATTTGAAATATCTGAAATTGGCTTTATGAAAACAGAAAATGGTATTTGTTCATGGAAATTTAAAAATTGAAAGATCTGTAAACTTGTTTTGGCACTAATTCTTCTAAGTATTTCCATCTCCTCCTCACTCGTGATCATTACAATTCTAATGATCACGAGTGAGGAGGAGATGGAAATGGGGCTTTGCATCAGTTCTCAGTGAGATTTTGATGCTTTAATAAATGCTTTAAACTGAAGGACAGTGTGTTTTTTCACCTCAATACAGATAAAAGTGAAATGTTCAGTTAAAGGAAAAGCACTGGCCTTCAGTCCCTGGCAGCTCTGCTTCTGCTCCATCAAACACAACTGACGGTGTTTGCCGGCAGGAAGCCGGCGAGGGATCATGGTTTGTGTCATGACTGTCCACATCATCCCCAAGCCAACAGGGGACATGAGTTTGTCTGAGGGATTACACTGTTCCTACTTTAGTCACCTCTCCAGTAACTTACTGTGTCCATTAGCTTGAGGCTCCTGGTGTGGCTGCCCTGGTTGTGTTGTTTTTGGGGAACGGGCTTCCAGCTCTTTCAGCTGCTGCACGAGCAGGGCCAGATGCTGCAGCAAGTCCCTGTTCTGCAGCAGTAGCTGGTGGACGCGGGCCTGAGCCTCCATCCGGGCAGCGGTCTCAGCTGCCATTTGATCCTTCAGCAGCTGCACCTGTAGTGGAAAAACAAAGGGGAGGGTATGTTTGTTTGAACATTTCTGATTAGATTTGAAAACCTAGATGCAATATCCATTAAAATATTTGTTTGAATAGTTTTCTTTTTCAGCCTCAATTACTCTTGAGTTTTTGATCTACAATACTGAATGAAATCAGGTTCATAATCCCGCACATATCTATGATCCTTACACTGAGACTCAAGGTAATGGAATGGGTATTTAGGTTCATCTTTGACTGAGGTCGATTTTGAGTGATGCAATCAGACATGAAATACTATAGTAAATATGCATTCGTCTTGCAGTTGCTCAGATGTTGTAAATAGGAGGCTCTGCAAATCTCCTGAGATGCTTTGTTACAAACATTTGCGCATTTTAAATTTCAGCACATGTTGTGTTTTTGTAATGCTGCACCATCTATTTTTACATAACTGTGTTGGTGCCGCCCCCTAGTGGGGCATCATTAGTAAAAGACATACAGTACCAGGTGGTTCCATGAAAGTCACACATCTTAAAAGGGATTTCATTGTGAATACCTGACTGATATTTAACAGAGTCACCAAGATGAAGATCGACTTGTTTGCCTCCATTGTGCTAAATTAAGACGAAGCATTTTCCAGACGGTTATCCCTGTGTGTGTATTGTCCTCAAGCAAAGTAAAAGTGCACCATGGGTATTTTCCATTCTGGGGATACATCAGTGGAATAAATGTCAATATCGTGATAAGTCTGCAGCAAACATTGTGCGTACGTGTGTGTGTGTGTGTGTGTGTGTGTGTGTGTGTGTGTGTGTGTGTGTGTGTGTGTGTGTGTGTGTGTGTGTGTGTGGCCCTCATGGGAGAAAGTATTACAAATCCAGAGGATGAAATAATTCCAGTTTCATTTTACACCACACTCCATGTAGATGAAATGTTAATATTGATAATATTGATTTGAAATTAAAACAGCAAGGATGTTTTTGGAAATGCTAATGTCATTGATGAAAGTGTGGAAAAAGTGAATAGAAGTGTTAGTCGATTCACGATAGTCGATAACTATTGTAGTAATGAATGAATCGTTTCAGTCATTTTTTTTTTTTTTTTTTAAATAATTGTTAGTTGCGTCCCTGTTTTCATCTCTGTCTACTGCTTCGTTTCAGACAACCTCTACAGTGAGTGTGATTGTCAGAGTCTGCTTCTTACCTGAGCGACGGCCACCTGTGTGTGCTGCTGCTGCTGCTGGAGCTGCTGCTGGAGAAGCTGCAGATAGTGCTGTGATGCCAGTGGAGTGAGAGATGGAGAGCAAGGGCTGCTGGGAGTAATGCCTTGGGATGTCACGGTGAAGAGGGACCTTCTATCAAAATCCTGACCAAAGAAAAACACACCCAGAAAAAAAAAAAGGCATGTTACTGATGGAGGGATAAAGGTAGTAAAAACAACGTACTTTAAGCTGAAATGATGAGTATAACTCTCTGACATCGAATTCAAAGCCCACAGTGCTGCCAGTTTTTCCATCCTGGCCATATCATACTGTCTATATATGGAGCTATTTATAGACCTCAGACACCAGACAAATGCAATTAACAAACCAGTAGGATAGAAGCCACCCAGTATTCTGAGTCCCAGAGACCAGGACTATGACCCACTGATCCGGAGGCCCCTGGAGCCCCTTACTGTAACTCCTCACCAGAACTGGAATAATCTCTAAACTCATTACCATACCATGCATACTCATTCCCTGTCTCCTTTTATCTCTCTCTCAATCTCCTTCCTCTGTGGATTTTTTAGATGATTTTCCAGATGATCTTTGTTAGCACAAATGTGTCCTGGAGAAATAGGACGTTCCCTAAGCAGCTTGTTCATTTCAACCTCTCTCTCCCTCTCCCTCTCTCTATCTCAAACAGTACGGATGGAGTAATTGTGTGTTTCTGTCTCCAGGGATGTCAGCACTGACCAAAAGAGATGGATTTTTTTGTGTGCGAGTGTGTATGTGTGTGTCTGTCATAGGCTACTTTAGGGGACAAATTTCAGACTACAGACCTGTTAATCTGAAACAGCTGGTTTTTGGGTCAGTGGTTATGGTTTAGATTAGGGTACAGCAAGTAGTGGTTAGGGTGAGTTTCCAGGAAATGAATGGAAGTCTCTATAATGTCCCCAAAAGTGACCTATGACAAAATGTGTGTGTGTGGTTTCAGTGTGAAAGCATGTTTAAGCCGCACATAAACACATTAAAAATTCAGGCCTCAATAATCACACAAATTGCTACTGCTGTCATGCAAAATTGGTACAACAGGACACACTATGTTGTAACTTCTTCATAGAACCACTAGAGGGCGAAGTAGCACACTGTAAAGTACGGCACATTCAACTTCAAGTGCATCTGAGACGGCGTGGTTACCTCGGTGATCTGCAGCTTCCATAAATAAGAATGTAATTTGGATAAACTGAAAAAGTTTAAGTTTTTAGAAAATCTTTTTTTTCTGGTAGCTTTGGATAATCCTGTTACACTTCAGTATATAACCACCATACTTTCTAAACAGTAAAATTAACAACACACTATGATGTACTTAAAAGCAGATTTAAGTGTTATTTGTCAAGAGCTATGACTCCTCCATAATTAGATGCTGATATAACCAGATGAATGACAAGACAATATAACACAGCTGTAACAATGTAAAATATGTCTTCATACAGCAGGAGATATAGCAGTTGAAAAATACTGTTCAGTAATAAGTATTTGTCCTTATATCTACCCACAACTATACTATAGTGTTATGAATCATTTGTAATATCTTTATATAACCTACTTCTTATAAATACTTAACGGGCTGGGGTGTGGTTAAAGTAGCACGTTATTTGACAACAACTTTGCTTATCAATTAATCATCAGGTTTCACCTTCAAAAATATGGGAATGTGCTGCTTTTTTGTTTTACATCATTTCAAGTCAATGGTTTTAATGGTGCACAGAATGTAATTTAATACCCGTTACATGGTCACACTGGTCAAAGAATGATGAAGCAGTAGAGAGTGAGTGTGTGAATTTACCGATATATATATAACATTTACTTCAGTATTAAAATTAATCACTTCATTGACTCGTGCTTATTCATGAGTGAAGGAGCTTCCTAGCTACAGAATCTGTGTGTGTTTGCTACAGATCAGACGGCACTGACTCAAACTCCCGAAAAAAGGATTGAACAGCCTCCTGCAGCACAACCCACTGTCGCACAAGTAGTTTATACATGTGTAACATCTCCTGACAGAAAACAACCACGGACAAAAACAAGTTATGACTAATGTTACTCTGAAAGGAAAAATACATCCAGACATTTGTAAATGAAATTTCAGACTTTTTTTTTGAAGTAACTGAATTCAGTGCTTTTAGATTCTCTTCAGGACTTGCAGATGTCATTATTCGCATTCCTACAAACTGTGGTCGATCCGGCACTTCAGACAGTCTCTGAAGTGTTCCTGTTATTTCGTCTACCCTCGTGTTGAATGTTCGTAACCACCAATACGACCAGCATCTCGTGTAGTATGTATATTTCGACCAGTCTTCCTTCCTCCATCTCTTTATTCCCTTCTCTCTCTCTCTCTTCCTCCTTCCCTTACTCCTCGCTTATCTCTATGGAGCAGATGTTCGCAAACTCCTCTTGGGATTATAGTGGCATTTCTCAGAAATCAAAGGGAAGTGACTGGGTTTTTTGGGATTAGGTGTCCCCCTTTTCACAGCCAAGCAGGAATATTCAGGTTCCCCCATTCCAATCCCTCTCTCTCTCTCTCTCTCTCTCTCTCTCTCTCTCTCAGCAGCACGATAACAGCAGTGTCTACCACACTCGCTCTGGTGACAAATCCAAAGGAACACGTCATGACACACTAAAGCCTGCATGTTTGCATCTTTCTTATCCGGTCTCTGTCAAACTATCAGTGAAAGATAATCGTCAGTTCTTAACTTCAAAATGATTCATATTTCTGCTAAATCTAAAACACAGTGAAACAAAAAACTAGGCATTTTTTTCCCCCACATGCAAGAGTGACCAGGTCATTTCACACCTGCAGTATCTGCTGCCAACTTGGAGCTATGATTAGTCATGGAGAGCTGCAGTCAATGATCTGGTCAGCTACTGCAGTAGATGACAAAGCACTATACTGTACTTTCATAGCTCAATGAGCCATTTGGCAGCACTATTCCCAGATAATAGCATCAAAACACACACTCAAGCCAAAGTAATGAATCAAGAGAGCAGAGCAGAGCAGACTCCTGTAGCTACGAAGACAGAAGCAGTCTGGAGCGAAGAAATCAGTGATCGTTAAAATGTGGATGCTGCTGCTACCTCCCCCCCTCTGCTGGGGGTCAGTAATAAAAAGGGACCTTGGCTGCAGCTCCAATGAAAAGAAACTGTCACATGAATGTGGTGTTTATGAGGTGAGATTGTGAATGCGAGCTCTCCCTACAAATGCATTTTGCTGTTCTAAGGCTTAGCTGATCTAGCGACCGTGACAAGAAATAGTGCCACAGTAAAGGGGATTGTATGCTTTAACAGAAGTGCTTTGGAGACCGTGTGCATCAGGGGGTGGAACTGGTGTGACAGTCTGACACTGACCTACCACTTTCCAGCAGCACCTGCTGTTAGGAAACAGTCCTGGTGGAATACAAGTGCCATTCCACTAGTGATCAGCAAATGCCAATATACAACCAATGAATGCTACATGGGTTTACTGAAAAAAATCAATTAGTGTAATTGTTCATAGTTTACAGTGGATAGCAACTCTCAGATGTCAGACATCAGTTTGACTTAAAAACCTCTGTGCGTGTGTGTGTGTGTGTGTGTGTGTGTGCGTGCGTGCGTGTGTGTGTGTGTGTGTGTGCGTGCGTGTGTGTGTGTGTGTGTGTGTGTGTGTGCGTGCGTGTGTGTGTGTGCGTGCGTGCGTGCCTGCATGTGTGTGTGTGTTCTAACAGTCTCTTACTATTATGGTCTGTCCAGGTTTGACCACATTCAGTTCAGCCAGACTCTGCAGAATTTCACTGACTGCCTTTTCACACAGAGAAGTGCCAGCTGACGGATCTTCTCCTGCTCGTCTTCCTCCGTGGTTGCCGTCCTCCTCCTCGTCCCCTCGCTCTGCTCCCGTCAGTTTACGGCCTGTAGAGGGAAACACAAAGACATTTGAGCAAAACATTGCCATCACCCTCAGGTTTTAATTTAGTTCACTTTTGGATTAAAAGGAAAAAATCTGACATTTTAGGAAATTGGCTTTTGCCTGTCTGATAAGAGGATTGATACCTCTCAGATATCTATTCGCTAATTATGAAGCTATCGCCAGCAGCTGGCCAGGCTAAGCTAACTCACCCAGCTCCTGGCAATCGCTTCATATTTAGTGCTATTGATCCTCTCGTCTAACTCTTGGCAAGAAAGTGAATAATCCAATTTCCCAAAATGTCAAACGTATCCTGTATTTGTGCAGTGTTTTACTCCTGGTTAGGAGTGCTCAGAATAGGCTAACACTCTCAAGGGTACTTCAGTATTGCAATATAGACGTTGAATAGGATGATTTTTCAGAAACAAAGTTCACACCACACAGTGCAAGTCAATTAACTATCCAGGACAGCCACTTTAATTAAGAATGACATCCAGGTTATTATTAGAAATAAACTTGCAATGTGAATTTCCTGAGGGAAAAATTGTATTATACCATGCTATGTACTTGTTATTTTAATACAAATTATACTATAAACTATAGTTTATATGGTACACAGTTTGTGGAATTTAATACTCTGATATATCCAACTTGGTACAATAACACGAGAGTTTTAATTTGTATAACTAAACCTTAAATTAATGCTATTTTGAGCTCACACAGTATTTTACCCACTCGTGATCCACCCTGCCTGTCACACAACTCCAGCTCCAACTATTCATTCACTGTGCTAATTACAATCATTACCGCTAACACTGGCAGCCACCCTCTCCTGTTGTCCAGTGACATGGAAGTTGTAATCACAGGAATCTTTCCCATCGCTACTCTCCATCCCATGTGATTACAAGGCCGTTTTTAGAGAACACTTAAATCCAGAGTAGTTTGACGTTAAATTCCAGTGTAACCAGACGTCTGTGTTGTTTCTGTTTGATCACTGTGGTAATTCAATGAGCCAGTTTGATGGTTTCCATTTCGCCCATAAAGAGGCGTGTAATCAAACTAAACATGTGGAAAGGTCAAGCTTTAGAGTTTAGCCAGGAGAAACATGGTTCTCATGTGATGAGAAAGAACGATCAAGGCTCATAAACTCCACGTTTTCCACAATAACGCTGTTCAGACCAGATGCCAAAGGTAAAATGTAGAAGCGCACTTCTCTGAGAAGAACGGTTGCATTACTGTTCTTGTGCGATAACGCTAATCACTTACAGGCAATTTATAAAACATTTAAGAAGAATTGTTGATACTGTTAGTCAAAGTAAATGTTCAAAGCACAGTTTTCATGCTTGTGTTTCTTTCATTGGAAAGTTTTAAAAACTCTTCACATCACACTTATGTATCTCAGCACCTTCATTTATTTGATATCCTGCTGCACCACGGGCCGAGGTTTCACTTTGTCCAGCTTTGATTATCTAATAACATAGTTGGCTTTATGAGGTAAATAGTTTCACTGAAAAAGAATCCAGAAAATATCTTTTAACAGAGAGAACTTTTGCGTGAAGGAATTTAATCTTAGTTTTGTGCTGGGTTCCTTTTGTTTGTCTTAGTAACGGCTGTTGACTGAGGTTTATTACTGAACAGGTGGAAGGCTCAGACAAGCAGCAGGTGTTTGCACATAGCTACACAGACATGAAACTGTACTTAACAGACTCTGGCTCTGAGTAAATTAGCTGTAAACAAAACCCAAGTATCAGTTCACTGGATTCAGGATTTTATTGCTAGCTTCAAATACTGTTTTTTTTTTTTTTAAATATTTTAATACTTATTTGTGTCTTATTCTATGCTATATTCATGAAAATCCATCACATAATAATCCAAAATGTGTATTTGTGTCTGTATAGATTTGTAAAACAAACGTTTGAATAGTAGAAAACGGTAAATAATTTCAAGTGGGCCTCACCATTACTGCTGGGCTCCTCTGTGGACTTATCACTCTCTCCATCTGCCTGTCCGTCTGCATCCTGCTCAGCATGCTGCAGACTGAGCTTATGGCACACCTCAAAGGCCTGACCGATGGTCCGCACAATACGCATGGCCTGCGTCTGACAGGGGCGGGGAGAGGGAGAGATTGAGATAAAAAGGGAAAAGGTGAATGTTTCAGAGTATTCAAAAAACAAACATACAGTATGCAACTTTTCACTCCACCAAACACCCCAGCCCCTCCCGTCTGCTTTAACATGAGCTAATCATTGAAATCACCAGCTCCTGTCTTTAGGAGCATGCACACTCTCAGTCGTCTTTGGCACACGGTTGAATACCTCCGGGTTCAGAGACTAATAATATCACCTCTGCAGGACAATTCTCATTACAGCTGACTGATAATACCAGACCTCGGAGCCAAGGCGGCAGTGACCTGCAACAACTGCAGCAAGACACATGAAAACAGCCTCGACTCAGGAAAGGTATAAAGAGATGCTTGTCTGAAATATGCAGCTGTAATCCTTGTCCTCAAGTGCATCTGCTTTGCATTCAGTGCAAGCCATGGATCTGCAGTGCTAAGCCACCAGATAATAACTAAGCCACCAGAAAGTGAGTTTAAGATCAACTTCAAAACCAAACTTGAATAATTCAGCTGACAAAAATCAGGAAATTAATTGCTGAATAAAAGATAAGAGTGGAGGGCACAGAATACAAACAACCCTCAGTCACAGGTAGCTGGACACAGAAGACTGAAATGCATCACATTGAAGTCTGCATGCTGTATGTGCCATAGTAACACTTACTGTACTCAGCTTGCAGATTTACATCAATAAGAAATGACAGCAGCAAATTTGGTGGAAAGAGGGGGAAGTGCACAGATTTTTCCAGTTGAGAAAAAGCAAGAGCGTTACTTGAAATATAACATTATGTCTCACGCCTGCCTCAGATTAAAGCCTCAGAATAAAGATGCTGCTGTAGTTGGTAAAACCGGCATCTCGTCTTCCTCTATGACAGCTGAATGTTGGTTTCCTTTTCAGTTACTTAAACTGATCTGTGGTTTGAAGTTTAAGGAATAGTCTGACATTTTGACCTGAGAGATTGATACCACGTCCTGTTTGCATGATAAATATGAAGCTACAGCCAGGAAATGGTTAGCTTAGCTTAGCAAACATTGGAAACAGCTAGCCTTGCTTCAAAAAGTTCAGACAGAAAGCAAAGTGAATTTTCACCTTTTGTCATTCCCATCTTTCCACTGACTTTATATCCAATTGCAGCTCTTCTATATTCAGCAAGTGTTCTGACTGAACATAGAGAGACTCCAGGAAGTCACTGCTGTCGGCCAAAAAACAGTAATAGCACCTAACCCTCAGTAAAAAACAAAACTTTTGCACTTTGGTTGTTGTACAGATTAAACAATCCGGATACACCATGTTAATCAGAGTCAGTAGGTGTATGCATGGACTTTTGCTGTACCTTCTTCTTTGATTTAAAGACGTTACATCTGAAGGAGTTACTGGAGCCATCTCTTGCGATGTAGCTGAAGATCTTCAAGTCCTGGGAGTCATGAGACACGTAGAAAATCCTGGAAACAACCAATTTAAATACTGAATACAAGTTACACAAACCTGAAAATGTTCAAGATTTTACATGATCCACCACTTTCTCCACCGTTAATATCCTCATAAAAATCAGGGAGAAAGAACTGACCTAATGCAGATATAAATCAAATGTAAGGGGAATATTTATTGTATAATGCTTTATACAAATACATGCTTCTACACTACTCTATACTCCTTGTGTCTTATACTGTAAAAATATGCTGTCCTGACTGGTTCTGTCCCCGCTGACAACCGAGCAGCGCCACATTCTGCAGTAGAGGCAGAGCAAAGGGTCAGAGCCACATCTCCATCTGCAGATCCACTGCTATAAAACATCTCCAGTACGAACCAGCCAAACTAATTATTACCATCTACTACTGAAAGTCACATGGTAGAGAGAGTACTATATATCCCCACTGCAGAAACCCCCCCCCACACACACACAGAAACACAAGGATAATTTAAATTAACACATGCAGTTGTGTGATGAGGTGTGGCTTGAGATCCTCCCACAGACGTATACATAATTTACAAACACACACACACACACACACACACACACAAATGTCTAAGTGCACACACTTAGATGTTTAATGTTAAGACACTTTAAAGTGGCTGCCAACGGCTTTCCAACTCTGAGATTTCCATTTTCATGAAGAGGCTGCCTTATTAGCCATAAAAAAACTGACATTCATGGAGTAAAAAAAATACATTATTTCACAGCTCTCTGTAGCACAAATCACACTTTAATATCTACTCAGCACCTGACTGCTACTATTATCTTCACACTTTACAGTTTAATTGCTGTGAGTTGTTAAGCAGTGACTGACAGCCTCACAGGCACGAGGATGATGAGTTGTCAGGCTCCATTGCCACAGTGTAGATAGGTCTTTAGGGCGACATACTGAGATATTTGTCAAACGAACTGAAACTTCGTCGTTCACTCGGTCTCAACACACCAAATACAAATACTATCTGAGATCAGAAAGCCTCTCTGAAAAAAATGATGTACTAGTATACGAACATATGCTTTACCATCTACATGCACCAGCTATAGATTATTCATTACGCTGTTTTATGAATGTAACTGCATTTGGCGTGCATAGTACATTCAAGCACATTAGTCCTGTATGGTTAAGTACATGCGATGGGCTAGAAATATAAAGCAATCTCAGAGTTTGAGAACATAATTTCCACTATAACATCTTCTGTCCACTCACAGTAATTACTTTGGTAAGAGCTAACAACAACATGCTAAGTGCAAAGACCAGACTCGACTGAACATCAGACAGTTTAATCCCCTGGGTCCATAAAGGAAGCTGCAAAGATGGTGAGATGTTATATTGTCATACAGTATGAACACAGTAACTGAGGTGTGACTAACCTGTATATGGGATCATGCATTATTAGCATCTTGCTCTCATCCCATGTCCATTCTTTCCTCTGCGTATGAAACAGACAATCATTCTTAAGCAATGATAAAGTGTCTCATATCAAAAGAAGTTATATATTCATCATTATCAATATGCAAAAACTGGTCAATTTTAAAGCTGAAACATTGAATCCAGTGGAGAAAATTATCATTTCTCTTCTTTGTTCATCACTAGTGAGTTACCTTCTGCTTCTTCCTCAGCATCACCTTGACCCCGTCCACAGACACCACAATGCTGACCTTCTTCTTCTTGATGTTCTTGGCCTTGAATTCATACTGAGAAAGCAGATAAAAAAAACAGTACAGTAAAATATTAGTATTAGAGGTAGACAGATAAATTGGTCAGGCCAATATATTGGCTGATATCGGCTTATTTCAGCTGTACTGGTTGAGTTTTGGGCCAACAAATTACAGTACATAATTTGTCCACCAGAGAGCACTGACAAGTTCATTTTAACACTGTAAAATATCCTGTAAAATATCATTATGCACTATTATGCACCTTGGTCATAATTTGAAAAATATAATAATAATAAAAAATATATGTATAATGTATAATATGTGTTAATGTTAAATAACTATCGGCTAATAGTTATTTGGATTTTTTAAACTCTCAAATATTGATATTGGTAACAGTCTCACAAATCCAGTATAATCAAGCTATGATAACCATTACACATTAAAAGTATTTTATCTTTCAATATGAAATAAGTCAAAAGATAAAAATCAGGTTTCATTAAAACCATTTTCGTTGCAGCTGATGGCACGATGAGTCATAATCTCACAAGACCTGAAAAACCACTTCTTCACACCTTTTGATTCACATCATACTAGGGCGGCAACTAATAATTATTTTCATTATTGATTAATCTGAAAAAATTCTTTGTCGGTCACAAGCTCCCATTGCCCGAGATCAGTATTGCAAACATACACCTTTTACCATCATATAAGACAACGAAAAGCAAGAAATGTAACACTGGAGAGGCTGGAACCAGCAAATTTCCTCGAAAAATTGTGAAATTATAAATTCTTGCGGATTAATTTTCTGTTAATCAACCAATCAGTGAATTAACTGATTGTTTCACCTCTATGATTAAGAACGTTCTCAGACATACAGTCACACTACACACTCACTCACTCACTCACTCACTCACTCACTCACTCACTCACTCACTCACACACTCACACACTCACTCTTGTGCACTACTCCACCTCTTTGTTGCAGTGAGTGACCTGAGTATATGTACTGAGCACAGTTGGCATGCTGACAGAATTAAGGCCATAAATGGGAACAATCTGTCAGCATTAAAACATGATCTGCAGTGCACTTTAATATATCAGCATCTTTAATAGCCGGGCAGCTCACAATAACAACTCTGACAAAGTCTGCTGTAGCCAAGCCAACTAAATAAAAAAAAAAAAAAAACTTTTCTATAGCTCTCTGATGAGAGGAAGGACACTAGGAAAATTGGATGAAAAAGACAGTATTGAAAGTAATTGGTCAAGATTCCCAGTTCTGTATCAAGTATCATGTTATAAACTGAAAGTGACAGGAAATTATCATGTAGCCTGCAGCTGAACCACGTCTCTGCTTCTCAGGGACACAGAATAGACACTACACCAGCTAAATTAATCAACAACATTTCAGTAAAAAGCCCAGGATATGGGTTTGCCTCCATTCTGTTTGGTGGTTCACAACAGCTGTGTCTGCACTGAGTGACTAACACGTTTCCACCCCGTCAGCTGGCCAGGCTCTCTGCTGAGGAACTTAACAAGTCTGGCCCGTCGACTCAAGTCAGCATCACTTTCAAACATGAAGCAGCGTTCAGCTCTCGTTACTCAACGGCTATCAAGGCCTACAGTGTGACTGTCAGCTAATGGCCTCCTGACGGTAGATTCATATTTAGTGCAGAGATGTGAGAGTGGGATCAATCCTCTCATCTCACTCTTGGCAAGACAAGTGAAAAAGCATATTTCCCAAAATGGTTTACTACTCCAGGTTTTCTTCTTTTTTTTTTTTGCCTCTTGAGGCACAAGAAACAAGTTGTGGACATAACATTGACCTTATTATCACCTTTTATGTTGATACAGCTAACTTGTTAGCAGACAGTTGCTTATTTACAAATCAAGCAATTAAAGAGAAGCATTGTCGTTCATTTGGAGTCATTTTTCTGTCCACTTGGTAAATGTAAATCCAATACTCACTGTTTTTAAAGCTCTCTTGTTTTTAGTCTCTGCTAAATGCTCCACCATGTTCGTCGGCTAGCTAGTCGCTAACTGTCTCTGATGGTGCTGAGCAGAAAGTGAACAGTGAGTTTTTAGAGCTTTGTCTCTGGCAACAGCTGCCTGCTGCTGCTGAAAACTACACCATAAGAACAGTAAATCTCTCCACCTCCCTACACCTGCACCCAAAGCTCATTGGCCCATGTCCATGTTCCCCATTGAGGTAACCAGTAAAAGTTCTGACAAGTTTCTTTCCAAAATCTCCTGCAGAGAAAGTTTGCAGCATTTCCTTCTGGAGCTGGCAGTGTCCCAGAAAATAACAAATGTCTAGTCTGATGTTTACCACATTCTGCCAAAATGTTAATATGCAGCAAAAGTGAATGGTCTCCACTCAAGCCAGAACAATAAGTAAAGGGAGGAGAGGTGAGAATGACGTGTTAAAGGGCAAAATGAATGCCAGCATGGAGACAAGGCAAAGGATAAGAGGACTGAAAAGTTAGAAGAGAGAGAAGATGGGAGGAGAGGTGAGCAGATACGAGGAGACAGAAGGAGAGGAGGTGAGGAGCTGTTGTTATATAAGGACCTCCTGCAAACTGTGACCTTTTAATCCAGCTACACAATGCTGCCATGGAACAATTAGCTGAGCATTACGAACAAGTCACGGCCTACCAGAGATGATTAGCAGATAGTTTTTATTTGTCCTCTGTGTGAACCTAGGATATGTCCCCACTGTCTGCGAATGTGTGCAGACGGACTGTGTGTACAGACTGACAGTAAATAAATGTCATGACTTAAATGAAGCAATTTTTGTATACGTTTCCACATTTTCTTTCATGCACATTTTTCTGCTTGTGTCTATTTGAAATGCCCTGCTCTCCCTGCCCTGGATCCATGGTGATTAAAGTTTTGGTCTCTAATTATACAGAACGGAATCCCGAGAGAGCTGATTAAAAAGAGAATAGGTTTAGACAGGGAGAGGAGGAAGCACACCGCAGAGATGGAGAGAAACGCTAGCCAGGGTTTTAAGAGGAGGAATGGAGAAGTGTTCATGCTGCAAAGTGAAGTATTACGGAGTTGAGATGAAAGGAAAGTGTCCAAGTGTGAAACCAAAAACCAGGTGCTGAGGCTCATTTATTTCTATTGTAGTATGCTTTTGAACCTGGTGTAAAAATCTACTGTTATTGAGAATACAGTATTTTCTCTGGTGTGAATAATCAGATGAAACAACTCAGATGCCACTGAGCAGAATAATGATTTCTGGGCATCGACCTGCCAGACGTGGAGCTCTGAAAGTGATCAAAGGAAGTAAAAGGCGATAAGAAGAGACAGCGAATTAACTGAATGCATTAATTAGCAATAAACAAATTAAAGTTTAAGTTTAGAAACAATGTAAAGCTTTATACATTCCCATCCTTTAACCTCAAATCAGTTGGTTAAAAAAGAAAAGATTTTTTATTTTCTTCCTTTACCTCCAATAAGTTCATATAATAAATCAAAACTTTATTCCTTTGATTTTAATTATTTACTTTATCTCTCAGCGGTGCAGTTGCCAACCAAATTTCTACCCAATTTTGCAAAAATGTTTTTCCCAAAAAAATAGGAGCTCACCATATTTGTGGGGTCCATCAGGGACCTACAAGTCCCCACAAGTACTGTGACACTGTGTGACTGGCTAGCTTACTACTGGTAGCTAAACATAATGAGCACCAGCTTTTTTAGTTAGCTAACATTTACCACAAAACTACATGAGTAAGTGGATGTATGTTTAACATAACTGCTGAAGCATCAATGTATACAGACTCTTTTAACAACAGCCAAAGCATTTTAGCTGGCAAGCTAATGCTAACAAATTTAGCTATACAGCCAGAGAGAACATCTGTTTACAAAAACTCACATGCTGCACCAATTAAATGCAAGAGTGGGTGAGAAGAAACAAACACACTGTCCATACAGTATATGACCAACAAACCAACTACCAGGCAACTACCTTTACTGGCACATCAGTGTCAAAACACTTACACACAGCTCTTTTATAATTCACAGTTCATGCCAGCATTCTGTTGAGGCAAAATGGGATTTTGCAACTTCATCCAAAGTATGAAATTTTTATATTTTCTCTGCTTAAGTGCAAAGTGTTTTGAAATATTCAGGCTTTTAATGCACTTGCATTGTTATGGGTTTTCTGGTATCAACAGTGGAACAAACAATTAAAAGCTCATGACATAAGTTTCCCCTAAGCCTCAGTATGTCAGGTTAGAAAACTTTCAGCAAAGTATGAAAATATTCCCGTTGCGGAGCTTAGTTTACTTTACTCCGCTGTTACAGACTCTAAAACTCTCTGAATTATGTTTGAGAAATTTAGGAAGACAGACTTTAGGAATAATGCATGAGTTGTAATGAAAAGTGTATGACTAATATGTGGATTGAACAGACATGCAAAAGGACACAGGATTTAAGTTCTAAGATGCTCTCTCCGAAGATTTGTCTTAAAACCTTAAAACTACGTCTCTAATGCCGACGGTGAGCGATGCAGTGCTACAGCAATGTTCAAGCTCCAGGCAAACAGACTGCTAGCATTTATTTCAAATCTCTCTCAGTTTGGATGTGTGCATTTCAGCCATCAGACTCATCAGTCTTCCCAGACAGCGTAACAAATTTCAGTCAGCGTCCCTTTCTGCAATCTATAATGAAAGCGTCAGGCAGAATAGTGATGGCTGTTGCTATGTGCACAAAATGAGGAGAGGGAAAGCTGGATCTCAGTAGGATATTTGATCCCAGTGTTATCAACTTAAAACAGCAACAAATATATTACAAGATCAAAACTGGAGGAGAAAAGAGGTCATTCACTTTTTTATTTGTAATCTCTGAGCAAGCCAAGACAATAGAATTTACTGTGACAGTTTCAGAGCAGCTTCTTTTTGTGGCATGAATAACAAACTATGAGCAAAGCCAACTATGATCACTATTTAATAACTGAAAGTCATCAAGAGCTGAGGGTGACAGCTGCTAAATCAGCTGCTTTCAGCTCCTTTGTCTATTTACCGCTACATATA